CTGGAACAAAGCGCAGAGCCCCACCAACTGCCCGCCCTGCCGGGATGCCGGCCATGCCGAGGTACCACGGGACCCGGGGGCTCCTTGCAAACGCAAGAGCTTGGGGCAATTCAGAGTTTTGTAGCTCAGCTCCCCACGCTGTCCTGCCAGGCAAGCGTTGTGCTGAGATTAAGTGACTTGCTGAAGGTCAGAGCAAAGAAGAGATGTGGGGGGGGAATCCAGTGCCTGCTCTCTGCTATGCTCCTCAAACCATCAGCCAGTGCTCTCTTTACAGGGCCGTACAGAATAACAAGTATGGGACTGACAAAACCATCAGCTGTTTACTTGTCCAACAAGGCAAAATATCATCTTCTCCATTTTACAGATGGAGTGCATTTCGTCAACAGAGATCTGGAAAGAATGAAGATCCCCCTGAGCCTTAGGGCTACTGTTTTATCCACAAAACCACATAAAAGGTTTAAAGTCCAAATAGACTAAAACCAGCTTCATCCTCTTGGGTCACTGGCTCAGAATCCTCTGTGAGCTTCAGTACAGGCTTCTGGTGGTGCAAAGCTGCCCGCTGTAACAGCAACACCTACGTGGGACCATCCCAGCTACCAGCAGACCCAGGGGTAGGAAGGACATGGCATGTTGCTGTTATTTTTTTCACTACCACATAAATAGCAGGTATTCCGCAGGAGGACCAATTCATGGGGAGATCCTGAGTAACTAGGATAATGGGAAGACAAAAAACCTATATTCAAGTTCTCCAAATGGGACAAAGAAAAAAAACCACACTGCAATTCTAAGTAGGAACTGCTGTTTCAGATTCAAGGAGCTGTGCAAAGCCTGATGCTCACACAGCCCAGCACTGAGATGCAGGGAGCCCGGGTTTAACCCCCAGCACTGCCCCGGCTGTCCAAAGCGGTCGCAGGACGACACTCCCCTGCACCTCACCTATTCCCTGCCGAATTTGGGCAGCAATATCAGCAGTGCTGGAGTGGGGATGGCTGACATTAACTCTCCTTGTAGGGTCACAGGGACCACAAACACCCTTGGATGAGGGCAGACCCTTCAGCAGTTTTTTCATTTCCATAGTGGTAATGGCAATATTGAAAAGGACACCTGAGAGCACCTCCTGTACCACCCATCTGCAACCAAGATTTCAGTTTGGCAATGTTTTTATTTTCAAAGCACATGCAACAGAAAAAAATCCTAAAGGCAGGAAAATGATATCCATACCTGACACATGGCTATTTTGTAGCAAAGCAGAGAACACCTTCTAGGTGAAAAAAGCTCTTTTTTTTTTTTTTAAAAAAAAAAAGGTATTTCTTACCTTTAAATCCCAGATCCACTCATTCTAAAACCATGCTTTCTCTCCAGGCCAGACCGACTGGGTGTGGAGATGCTGGTGCAACTCAGTGACCTGCATTTTGCAGACACTCAGTCATAATTATAAAGCTCCTGTCTAGCCCTAAACCCCGTGAATGTTACACATTTTGGCCCAAGAAATGAAGATGACTGCTCTTCAAAACGGAACCACAGGCATGTCCTTGGGACCTTTAATCAAAACGGAATTTGTCAGGACAGCACCCGGTCCTTGCAGGCCATCCTGAAGCCTGGCTCTATAATGACTTTGGAGAAAACCACAACCCTCCTGCTTCAGTACCACTCTCTGCCTCTGGGAACAAAATCTCTGGGTTTTTGTGAGCCATCTCCTCTTTTCAGGCTCCTCTCCCAGCTAAAGGTTAACCAAATTCTTTGGTTTCACACAAACCCTTCACTGACATGCAACTTGGTTTCAGTGGGCTTTTTGCACAACAAACCAGTATGTCACAAGCTGTCCTTACTCCTGCAGCGATCAAGAAACTGTTGCTGCAAAAAATGCCACAAAACTATCAAACACCTTTGCAATCAATTGAACTGTTCCAGAATTTCAATCATAAGTGAATTGTTTGAAACAGATTTTGAGCATTCATCTCTTTTTTTTGGTACAGTATGCACTTTATTGCAGAGAAGACCGGATGCATTTTTAAAACAAATTCAGGAGTTGCACAGTTTCCAGTGCTGCCCACAGTAACTCGAGTACAACGGAGTCCGTCAGACAAAGAGTAAGAGGGAACTCATTCCCATCATCTGCAATCACTTGACAGAGTCAGAAAATCTTGCAACCGATTAAGAGCCATGTAAAACAGGCGGCTCCGCTCCTGCAAGCCCCTCTGCCAGCAGAACAGAGGTTAACCGTGTCACTCCTGATTTACACCAGTGTAACTGAGACCAGAAATTGGGCTTGTATCACGAAAGCAGCCAGTGAAGATTTTATGTCAGCGTGAGACGCACGTGGTGGCAGATTTGTGATGTTTCCTGAAGGGCTTTATTCGGGATCAGATCAGAGACAGTGTCTCCCATTTCAGTTGTTACTTTATCTTTGGATCGATGCACAACCGTGCTGCCCAGTCCCTCTCCACATGGGAAAGAAATCTCGGCATGAAAACACATCAAGTCCTAACAGGCACTAACTACCACAATAAACTATAACAGTGTCTTTGTCTACCCTGGCTGCTGCTGTGTTTGGAAGCATCCCAGCGGGTCACAGCCAGCCTCAGGTAGGCTGAGGGTGAGCCACAGCCCCGTAAGTGGGATCACAAGCACATTAGGAACGTTCTTCAGCGTATCAGTTAACACAGATAACGCATTTTCCTAGTCAGACCATCCACAATAATTGCTTTTGAGAGCCACTGGCTGCATCAGCAATTTGAACATTATAATATTAGATAAAAATCCTCAACTTCTTTTCTGTAAAATGTGTTTTCTTACCTATTACATACCCCAAAAGTGAAGCCTTCTCTCTGAGCCACCATAGTGTGATATTAAATACAGTTGAAACTCTTGATGCAAGTCCAGAGCTCGTCCGAGGACACCGAGACTGAATGGGCTGGCACAAGACACATTAGCACAGAAAAGCCTTACAACTACCAGACTCTGAGATCCAGTTCTCACCTCCTACACCTTTTCAAAGCTTCACTGACACAAACAGTAATGGCAAGTTTTACCAGCTGAAGATCCAATGCACAGGGCTCAAACTCTAATGACATAAAACCACACAGGAGTCAGAAATTCCCCATGATGGATGTACAGTAGAATGGCTCAGAGCGTGTTCAAGGTATATGCTTCAGAAAAGCTGTTCATCTGGAGGTTATTTAAATGCTGATGTGTGAAAAAACAGTTTCCTTTACTCCTTTAGCATTGTGCCAGCTGTATGAAAGCTAAAAATCTACCAGGGTGAATGGGAACTTTGGGCAAAGTGATTGGAAAAAGCCTGAAAAACTGAAGGCTTCTGTGTAATATCAGAGTGGCAATGGCACAGATCAAGACAAGAAGAGTTCACCCAACCCACCATGTGCCTCAAAGCTTAATTTAGAAAGGATGCTTGGGGAGCAGGGGTGATAAATCATTCATCTGTCGTTTCCTGACGGCTTCGCCAAGGCTGCCAGTGCTGGCGGTTAGTAAGTGTGCGCATGTGACTTGCTAACTGAAAACCTACCCACGAGATGAGGGACCACGACACACAGAGACTTTGGAAGGCCATCCCAAAGTGATGTGCTTTTGACCTAGGCTAAATTGTGATTCGTGACGAATGAATGGGCCTGAGGCCCGTGAATGCTTTAAGCTCTCATGTCTATTCCCTTTCAGAAAAAAAATAGAAAATTATCACATGAAGTGGTGGCTAGGCACAAATGATTCTTCTTCAAACAGATCCCCACAGGTTTCCCCCTTGTAATTACTAAAATATACTACCTGATGTGTCACGAGGATGACAAATAATTGACATTTAAGGCAATCTAATTTCCATAGCCCTCCCATGACTTTCACCGAGCAGATCACCTTTATCTTTCTTCTCTAGGAACGATTTCTTGCACGTGAACATGACAAGCAGCAGCATTGGCAAGTGCCATAGACTGCAGAAGAAAAGCTTCCTGGAGCTGCTGCGGTCTGCATCCCTGTAGAACCGAAAGCCGAGGTAGGAGATGTACAGGTTGATAGGGAGCGAAATGACAGGGAAAGTCCATGTGGTGATGTCGAGAACAGGAGCCATCGTTGAGAGTCCAATTAAGGCCAAGCAGTGACGCAGAGCCACCCGCCTGCACAGCCCTGGGTGGGTGACGGACATCATACAGTACCCTCCTCGGGAGTAATCTTCCCGTAGACCCCAGCTCAGGGCGTTGAAGTGAGGGAACTGCCAGGAATAGAGGATTCCTCCTAACAGTAACGCACCTGCAGCGGGAGAGAGAGAAGCAAACGTACATTAGAGGGGCACTGCAAGAAGTGCTGCACATAGAGCTCAGCAGGTACAGGCTCCGTCTGCAGAACAGCAGTGCTGCAAACCTGTTACATCGCTCGGTGCGGAAGACAAGGCATACTCTGTAAGATAAGGTGTGCTCTGTTTTTAACGGCATTTACGTAAGGCTGTGCACGGTGGTTCTTCTGTTTTTGCAGCACATAAATTTGAAAAGCATTTCAACAAGTCACTTCCTCCTAATGACCCATCGCTAATTGGGTTCTGCATCAATTCAGTCTCTACCTGAGGGAAGATTGATGGAAATGAAGCAAAGTTGGGTAAGAGACTGTCCTCCTGGGGGCATCTAACTTCTACTCCTGGGTTCCTGAGTTGGTGCATCCAGAGAAGAAAAAAGCCGGTGGGCAGAGTGTCCCAATGACCAGAAACAGGGAGCCCTGCTCAGTGACAGCGGAAAAGGAGGATAAGCTGCTTCCTCCGGAGAACTGGGACAGTACCAGCACCCTGGTAGCCTGGAGCACAGCTAAGCTTTCTGTTTTCCCATTGTGTGAAGGGAGGGAATCGCTCACACACAGGAGTGCCGCGATTACGGACCTCAGGCAGGCGGCAGAACTGGCAGAAGCTGCTAACGAGGTGACAGAAGACAGAGAACTTTTTACTCCTTCAAACCAGTTGTAGGAACTTCTAAGTAGTTTGATCAAGTAACTCTATTCACACCAATTAGCTACTTGCACATTTAAAAAGGAGCTATGGAAGCACCACATTTTGCACAGCTATCCTCGGGACATGGTACAGGGCTTATCGAGGCAGAAGCAGCTTACGTGCTGATTTCAGCGAGCTTCAAGGAGGCCCTCAGACTAAACTCCCTTCACTAATTTTGTCTGAACACATAAAAAATCCCCCAAGGCTGCTGCACATTATGAGCATTCCTGGATTTTCCTTTTGTTTCCCCAGCTCCCAAATACTCCGCTTTGGCATTAACACTTTCTTTGCATCTCCCTGCCTCCATGAATTCATTCTCTATAGAAACTACTTCTCAATTGGATCCATGAATCTATCATTTTCTTAATGACTAGATAGAAACAGAAACAACACCACTTATCTGCACACAGGTTCATGCATTTAATTTCTTCCCCAAATGCTCACTTCTTCCCCAGCAACTGCTCGGGCTCTAACAAAGATCAAGTCATTGTCTCCTTTGAACTGCTTCATGGTTCATGTCTTCTCTCCATCTGTACATTCCTTGGGGCTGTGCATGTCTAATTCTTGTCTTAAACAGCACACCTTACACTGGTGGTGTCATGCAAATAATAACAAAGTTTGCAAAAAGGCCTTTTTTTTGCCCTACCAGTGAAGGAACGGTCCATTAACCTAAATGCGGGCTTCCAGCTGCTGATAAGATCTAGTAGAGGTATAAAAGCCCCATCTTGTCACTTTTTAACATGAGTAACAAATACTCCATTAGGTGAGTACGTGCCTCTGAAAGCTGATTACATGAAGTATGGAGGTGGAGATAGATGCTCATATATTGGGCATGCAGCTTTCAGAATAACATTGCTTGCTATAAATTACAGGTGATTTCCTGGACTACAGCCCAAAACGCTTGCAAATCCTGCCATTTGATCCATCTCAAGTCGACTTTCAGGGTGTGGATGCTTAGCACCTTCTCTAAATTGGAACCTTTTAAGACAGTTGAAAATGGTGCACCCCAAAATTGCCATTAATTTCAGAAAATCGTGGCAACAAAAGTAATTTTGGTCCTAACAAAATAGGATTTGATTCAGTTCTGCTGAAACCTAAAGGATTAGCTCTACTGAAATAAACTGAAATAAAACTTAATGAAGGAGCAGTACTCTCTACACCAGGAAAAACAATGGGGAAAATGTTCTGGTAATGCATCATTCTTTAGCTTTTTCCTCTTCTTGTAAAACATATTACCAGAGGCAAGATCCTGAATTTGATAAATCTAAGATAGGAATATTTTTCAAGTTTCATATCTGAAGTGCTTCAGAGACATTAGCTTGTAATTTTTCAGACCTTAGGGAAAGGTAAGCTACAACCATCCCATCAGCTGAGGAAACTTCAGTAGATGGAGCCGGGGTCAGGACTCAGGGGCAGTGGCTGTCCTTGCTTCCCACGGCTACGGACCGGCCGGCTTTCCATCTCCCACGTGCTGCTGCGTCCCTGTGTTTCGGCTGTAACACGGGCTTTGTTTATTCAATTGTTCAAATGTTGTGTGCAGCCAAGCTCAAAACACACCCTAAACCTCAAACACACAAAACCCTTTAACAGTTCTCTAACTGTAACACCATTAAAACAAAACAAAACAAAAAAGTCATGTGGAGAAACTTTTAAACACAAACAGGCCAACTAAACTACTTGAGGCTGGATTCTCATTTACAAAGCTCTGGTTTTTACATGAAAGCCTTTGGAATTTAATTACTTTGATTACATTACAACCATTGAGATAATTGATATTTTACAGAGAAGTTGAACAGTAAAACAATTTAATAGCCCATTATGAGGATTTTAACCGACCCGATCTTTTTGGTAGTTTCCCATGTGCCTTGGACATCCTGTAATTTCCTCTGCCCAAGCCGAGATTGTCAGGTTGTCAGAGATTTTTAAGTGTCACGTAAGACTGATGACTTGCAAAGCCCAGCACACGGCACAGCACAATTCAGCATCAAACGAACCCACAGTAGGAATCCTGTCAAGCCCAGAGCAGACACTGTAATACTCATTAACTACTACATGAATGTTAACTATGTCATAATTAGGTCAGCAGTGCTTTTAAGCAATATTACAGCGAGACTAACTCTGGAGACTAAACTGGTTCAAAATAGTGCAGAGTCTACTCTGCTGCTTCTGTGCAGTTCCCAACAGTTTGGGAACTCAGTTTAGTCCATGTAAATCTTTTTCTCTTCGGAGTTTATAATTAAGTGAAGACCCAGACGAGGTCGTTCACAACCGTAACACGTAGAGCTGGCACAGAGTTTGCAAAAGCGAAGCTGGTCATCAGAGCAGAGCTATCGCGTTTGCTCTGGCAGTGGGAGATGTGAGCCAGCACCCAGGGACACCGCAGCCCTCCGGCTCCCTCGGTTCCCTCGGCAGCACGTGGAAAACCGGAGCACAGGCAGAGCGACAGAAATTCGTATTAGAGCTCTCACTGTTTGTGAGTTGCAAGACCACAAGTACCTGGCTTATGGATATCCCAAACTCTTTGGCCTTTTTGGCCAAATTTTTAATAGCTGCAAGTTTAGCCCATTCATGACCACTTCCAAACTCTTCACTTTTCCAAGTGTGAGAACCTGGGACAGCTGCAAGCAGACACTTATAAATCCTGATAACTTGGCAGACGAGTCCTGTTTGATTTTGGAAAAAAAATGAAGTCTATTTAGGCAAACAGGACCCAGGTCTCCAGTATTCTTTCACTCTGGTGTGCACAATAGGTCTAAAATGTTTTCTTGCTGAGTTCCTATTGTTTGATCACTTTGTACTAGCTTAAATCATCTCAAAAGGTACAGGATTGCAGAGAAACAAGTAGGTCCTATAGCATCCACAGAGTTAAAGATAAATAACAGGTTTTACTGTTCATCATGAATTTTAAGGTTAAGCTATTATTTCTTTTCTTAAATTCTTTTAGAAGTATTTAAATAGTAATATATCTTCTTTTTAATAAACAAGAACAAGCTGAGATTTTTATTTTATTTTAATATCTAAGATAAAGCCAAAATGTCAACTGGCGTTGAAGAAAGTAGAAAACGGTTTGTTCGTTCTGTAAATATATTTCTATCCAGTGAAATACTGAATCTTTATACATTGCACTTTCCCTAAAACAAACAAGACACTAAATTCCACAGTCATTCGGAAACTGCTTGGCAAGACGTTTAAGGTTCAATAAATTTGGGTAAGACTTGGAAATAATTGTGAGATGAGACTTCCAAAAGCAACTAATGATTGTGGGCTTGCAAACCACAGCAGCCGACAGTCTCATTTTCAGAATTACAAGAGCAAGAAGCATCCCCCTCTGAAGTTATGCTCTTCATGGTGTCAAGAAGGCCATGTGGTACCTCTAAACTTTGATTAAAATTTCACGTTTTATTCCTTTTAAAGCAATTTATGATGACCTCATTTGCTGGATAGTCCAAATCTCAGATGAGGGAGCAATGTCAGTGCCTGAGCCTGTGGAGTCCTTGGCCCTTCTGCTGAGAAGAGCACCTAAGAGCAGGAAACTGGAAGGTGGTTTTTAGGGTGTAAGCCCTTGCAGGGTGTGAACTCTGACCACTGGTTAACACGTGGAGAGCAGCGCAATCAGGTAGCAACGGCTTCTTGTCGTGTCCATCCTGGCCTTGTGCCAGGACCAGTGACCCAGGGACAAAAAGCTCCAGACCCTAGTGTGAGACCCCCAAACTTCTCATGTCCTGTAAAGGATACAGAGTCTGTTCCAGTCTATACATCAGCTACTCAAGGAAGAGTGGGCATATTCAGCTGCCGAGCTATCAGTGTCAACAGAAATCATGGTGGTAGCATCGTTCTGAGCAAACTGTTTCATTCACGTAAAGCAACCCGAGGACTGCAAACCTATCTTCTCATCCACTAAAGGGCAGAAGTAATGTTTGGATCCTGCCTGACTGTCTCGTGCTGAGGATGCCTCTCTCTCAAACCATATGCCTTTTTCCTGCTGGCAACACTTTCATCATCAAAGAGCTTTATACATTGTACAGTTGGCACATGGAGCAGTAGCGATGATTTCACCTGCAGCTGAAGTATTTCAGCTGTCTGCAGTAAACAAGGTACAATAGTTTGGGATGATCCAATTGAATGATTTCACCTGCAGCTGAATTATTTCAGCTGTCTGCCTTAAATAAGGTACAATAGTTTGGGATGATCCAATTGAAACTCTCCAAAAAATTTCTGAAAGCAAGTTCTTCCAGGGCAGAAAAGGACTTGAGCTAGAAGAGGGCACAGGATGGAA